AGGAATTTCCCGAGCTCCTCTTCAGGCTGAGCTGTTGAAATGTTTTGTGTTCATGTGGAAGTGTAAATGCGAGGGAGACCTGTCAACCCAATCACAAGAGGTTACCAAGGTTTGTGGGTTCAAAAATCAGAACTTGCCGAACACATAGCTCATAGAGGATACCAGATATACAGGTTTAAAGCCAAATGCTTAGCTAGATATAAAATTTCACAAGCGGAGGGTTAGGAAGTCTACAGAAATCAACAAAACGGCCAACAGCATAAATAGGAGAAACGAATGTAGAAAATTAGGCGAATTCCCTACTTGTGAATTTTGGATAGGATTAGGAAGAGAGAGAGAGAGAGAGTGGAAAGAATAACTGTCGAATAAGAGGCTTGCTTAGCCTCGAATCTGGATAGGAGCATCACGCTTCATACTACTTATGAACAGTGCAAGCAAACAGCATGCTTGCAAACGAAAACCATTACTAGAGTCAAGATTGATAGATAAAAAATGTCGGGGATTTAGGTGATGATGTGACTTTTGGGTCAAAATTGCATCTAAATAACTGTATTTAGTCTATTTTGCTTGGGTTGATGAAGTAATGGTAGTTGAATTTTCCATTGAATTTCATAAAACCTTGCTTACCAAAAAGTATTCTCCTCCCGACTGGAGGGGATTGTAATTTTGACTTCGCTTAGGTTTCATTAGCAACCTCAGATAAGAAATATATTCACCCTATTTTGTTAAGAATGATAAAGGATAATAATTGAGTCTATCCACAATTGCATGAGTACGCCTTAGCTTTCCATCGAATTTCGCTTAGGTGTGATTCCCAAGTTCAAGTCCCGTTGGGGGTGCTGATGAGACCAGATTAGGCGAGGCCGAAATTGCATTCCAGTCCAGCCAGAATGAATGCTTTTTTGGAAGCAAGGTTATGTGAAATTGAATTAAAATATAAGGTCTACTCATATAATTGTGGGAAAATTCTACTACCAACTCTTTATTACTTTAAACGAAATAGGGTGTGCACAGTTTTTATTCAATCTCTACCGTTACTCTCAAAACTATGCTTAAAAAGGTTAACAACTGCCTAAATTTAACTCGTCACCCGCAGCCAATTCACGTATCATCCTGCACACACGGCATACACGCAAAACGTAATATCACGAAGCATAACATGCGTCAAAATCGCACAATCCAAGGCTCATTTATTTGGACAAGGAAACAGCTGCGACGACATTCACTTCGTTTTCATAACTTAACTTCACACACCTGCAAGTACGTGTTGGGCGAGCATTAAGTAACCAAAATATCACGAGATGTCACATCTATATCACAAAGCTAGGTGTAAGAAGAAAATATAATTGCAGACGGCTACCTCAGTCCCGGATTAAAGTGTTTAGTGTGATTTTTCGTAAATGATGCCTTCCTGCTCTGACAATTTATATCAAATGAAAGACTCAGCAAATTTTGATTAAAATTACAGTACGGCGAGCCGAGGACTAGTCTACACAATCCGACTTTTTCATCAACTATGAGGCGATCTTTATTCGGTTTCTGGCGAGACCAATTTACAAATCTCTTCTGAACAACTTCTCCTTCAAAATAAAAAATCAAGTTGATGCTTGGTACTAAGGAAAGAGTCTGTTTACAGATGATACCGACTACGATTATAGTAGTAATTAAAATTTCCGATGCTAGAAGTTTTCAAGACTGTAGACAGCACAGGGAGACTGATACCAAACCTGAGGTCCCGTCAACAAGTACTTTTAAATCAAGAGCTTTGGACAATGTCAGACCACTACCAGAACACTCTAGAATATTATAATTATAGTGATAAAGGATCGTAGAAAACATGAGGTTGCGGCGTCTGGAGACATCAAAGAACTTTACAAGTTGTCCACTCAACTCATGCTTGAAGTGGCGATAGAACTAAATGAGCAAATTTCACATTCCATTGGGCGGAGTTAGTAGGCAAGTAAGGCATAGCGGTCCACATGTGACGTCGTTAATTTGACAAATCGACAAGATCTTAAAGTAATCAACTTACGCCTTCGTGATTATTGTTATATCCAAGACGAGCATTATGGCGCCTTGAAACGGCATTAGTGCCTCTTCTGTTATCGTACGGGACTATAACCTGGTCTTTTCCAACTTCTTTTAAATCCTCTTTGTTTCCATGCTCCTCATCCTCTTCCTCCGCCTCTATCTCAACCTCGACTTCCGGCGTGTCTGACATCTCGCCACTGCCAGATTCTGGCCCATTCGTCTCGTCCGTCTCATCGTCTTCGTCAATGGAGCTCTGCCTCAACTCCGAACAAGATGAGTCAGTGGTCGAATGGCTGGTGGCGGAGGTTCCGGTGGACTGCGTGGATCCAAAGTTTCCTGAACACAAATTGAGAAGAATGAGAAAGGCTAGTAAAAGTGTCAAGTAAAGGAAGGCTTGGTTTAAAACTACAAGAAAAGCCTGAATAAAAACGAGAGTCAGCTTATGTCGATTAAAATGATGAAAGACCTGATAGTTGAGGTTACTTCAGTGAGATGATTAAAAGGCCTTATCGAAGGTATAAAGACCAAGATGGTGTGGCCTTTTGTGTGGTCGCAGTCTCCTTTCGTTAAATAGAAGT